TAAGTCCAAAAACAAACTAATATGCAAATAATACATAAATTACAATTATTCATTGTTTATCCCCAAGATGAGGAGGGTCTTGATTAAACCAAGCATCACGTTCACGAAAATCATTTTCGCTATCATAACTATCATCATTTTCTTCACCAATTGATTCCAAATCAATTCCCCCAGTTGCACTATCAATATGGAATGATCCTTCTTCACCACCTTGCACTTCTTCATTAATATCATGAGTGTCACCTTAAAAGTTGAAAAACAAACACATATAATAAATAAATCAACAAAATAAATCATAAAAAATACTTACCTCACATAATCAATAAGATAATTTATAGAATCACAAATTAACATAATAAATTTAAATTAAAACACTATGAAGTACGAATACAAAACAGATAAGGCTGGAAAAATTGTCAAATAAGTATTTAAATCCATTTCAATGATCAAGAATCTTGGTAATTCTCATAAATAACAAAACCAAAACTTAATATTAATAATAGATTCAATCAGTTGCAGATGAACATGCAAAATACAGAAATGTATTACTAAACTAAAACAAATTTCGTTCACTCATAAACAGATTATTAATCCTTGCTGGTGAAACAGAGAACCAGCTGAAGTGATAATGAACAGGGCAGTGGATGGAACATTAGGCATCTTAAAGGCATGCTTGAAATCAAAGACGGTCAGATGAGTTGTTTATGACAAAGAATTGAAACAGAAATGCAGAACATGCAAAATACCAAAACAAAATTCAAATTGAATTTCACATAAATAAATATACTCTGTAAATAAACTCAAAAATCAAAATGCAGAGCAAAACCCAATCCTAAATAAGCAGTAAAAAGATAAGAAATTTACTAAACTAAAGCAACGAAATGCAGAGCAAGGTAGCAAGCTTAAAGTGATTCACTGTTCTGTACCTGAAGGGAACCGAAGAAGAAATATTTCAGGTCGAACCGTCGAAGAGGATCCAGAGAGAGAACGACTTCGGGAGAAAGAGGAAAATCTGATGAAGAACAAAAGAAGTATGAGGATCAAGTAAAGCAACGAAATGCAGAGCAAGGCAGCAAGCTGAAGCCTGAAAGTGATTCTGTACCTGAAGAGAACCGGAGAAGAAAAATTTTCAGGTCGAAGAGGATCCAGAGAGAGAACGACCTCGGTGAGAAGATGAAAATCTGATGTAGAACAAAAGAAGTATGAGGATCGACCGATCGAGAGGGAGAATGACCTTGGCGATGGTGACAAGATGAAGATCTGGTGAAGAACAGAAGAATTGTGATTCCGAATCTGGACGGAAGAGATAAGGAATCGTTGTTTCGGGTTTCTTCTTTGCATGGAATCGAAGAAAGAATTGGAGAAGGAGAACTGCAGTGTAAACTGGAGATGGGGGAGGAGACGAGTCGAAGAAGAAGTGAAGAACTGAAGAAGGCTTAGGGTTCTTGATCTAATTTAGTGATTTTACCGATTTGCATTCAAATTTTGTTTTTTTTTGAAGTATTTTACCATGTAATTGTAATGTGTAGAGGAGGGTAAAAGGGGTATCAAACAAAAAAAAAGGTATAAAATAAATATTGAATTAAAAAATGG